TGCTAAAAATTGCGTTGAGTTTTGGGAATTTTTTCCTTGAACTTGTAAAGCAGTTCCTTCCATATCAAGATATTTGTCGAACATATTTTAAAAGATTTCTGCAACCTTGCGGAGTGCTGCCAGTTTTTCTTTTTATTAAAAAATGGGAGTTATTGAGAAAGAGGGCGTGGCACCTCCCATACAAACTGAATTTCTCACACCACATACACATTTTAATGTGAGAAATTCATTTTGTATGGGAAGTGCCACGCGCTCTTTTTCAATAACTCCCATTTTGTCCCATGACTTGGCGCTGTTATCTCTACGATGAATACTTCCAGAGATATTGTGTGCGAAATCTTCAGTTTGTATGGGCGGTGCCACGCCCCCTTCATATATCGAAATTGTTTTCCTTCTATTATCATCCCTGGAGGATTTAGAGTCGATGTCCAAAATTTCAAAAATATCGGTCCAGCTGTTATCGAGTTTTTCAAACAGAAAAAACGGCTTTCAAAATGTATATCAGTACATATCAGTATAGATAACAAGTTGAAAATTATATATCTCTATACTAAGTCATAGCACTCTACGATGAATACTTCCAGAGATATTTTGTGTGAAAGCTTCAGTTTGTATGGGAGGTGCCACGCCCCTTGATATATCGAAATTATTTTTCTTCTATTATCATCCTTTGGGGGTCTAGAGTCGATGTCCGAAATTTCAAAAATAACGGTACAGTTGTTCTCGAGCTTTTCGATTAAATAACAACGGCTTTCAAAATATATCTCAGTATAGATGACAAATTAAAAACATTTTTTGATTAAATGTTTCCTATGAGAAAATGTTTGTGAATAATTTTTTAAATAATTGCAGGCATTTGAAATTAATTTCAAATATTTTCCAAAAAAATTGGAAGCATTCAAACGTAAAAATTTGTTTCCTTTCATTTTTCAACATGAATGAATAAAAAACAAGTAAGAAAGTCTAAGTTCGGGCGGAGCCGAACATTAAATACCCGGCGCAGGTACCGCTACATGGTAAGCCGGTGTGTATCAGTTTTGAGTAAATTAGCGTCCTTAAATTTCGAAATATTGAAGTTTCAAGCATTTCTGAAATTTGCCGTTATATGAAAAGTGGTCGTAATTTGAATCTGATTCCAATAATTTTCAACGTTTTGCTTCTATGTTCTATGAGTTTGGTACAAATTGGTAGAACGGTTACCGAGATACATATAAGAGGGCGGTGCTATGCCCATTTTCCAAAATTTTGTCATAAACGTATTTCTTGGCAAAGAATTGTTGCAAGCATAAATTTTGAGTAAATTAGCTTTAATATTTGTTGATTTATCGAAGAATTCGTATTTCTCCAAATTACCGTTATATGGGAGGTAGGCGTGGTTATTGTCCGATTTTGCAAATTTTCGGCCATTTGGTATGCTGTAGCAAGACCAACAACTGTGCCAAGTTTGGAAGAAATTGGTGCAGCGGTTACCAAGATATACACATGTATCCATAAGTGGGCGTGGCTACGCCCATTTTCCAAAAAATGTACAGTATTCTTATTTTTCGTCTAAAGGTTATTGTAAATATCAATTTTGAGTGAATAATCTTCAGTAGTTACTAAAATATCGCAGTTTTCGTATTTCGGAAAATTACCGTTATATGGGAGGTAGGCGTGGTTATTGTCCGATTTCGCCCATTTTCAATACCATCCGTCCTACGCCCAAAAGAAGTTCACGTACCAAGTTTCGTTAAGATATCTCAATTTTTACTCGAGTTATCGTGTGCACAGACGGACGGACGGACGGACGGACGGACGGACGGACGGACAGACAGACACCGCTTAATCGATTTCTTTTTTCATCCTGATCATTTATGTATACATTTGTCTATATCTATCTCGATTCGTTTTGCCTGTTACCAACAACCGTTATGTGAACAAAGTTATAATACCCTTGTGCACAAGTGCGCTCGGGTATAACTAGAGCTTTTTCAAAAAAATCGCCACGGATAGATCGACGCGAAATTTAATTATCTCTTATTAAAAAAAAATAAACTTGAAATCGGTTCATATTTGGGCTCTCAAAATTGATTTATCCACACCAACCTTTTTTGCCCCACTGTGCGCTCTTTGGTGGAAGTTTTAAGAAAAAGATAAGTTCAGAAAAGGATTCCTCATACCAAAAAACCTGCGAATCGTTCCAAAACTGATACTTTTACCTCAAAATATTTTCCTTATCGAAAAAAGGCGGCAAAATCTGAATTGCCTAGGGGTGACAAATATTCAAATCTTCCACTGCATGTTTTTATACAAAATTTAAGCAATGTGGCAAACTCCAAATTGATTTTAGACCCATGGTTTCTTCGGCAAATTTACTTAGAATTACACGTGCAATATTTATGTGCTATACGCGCATAGTCGAAAAAATCTCCTGTACAAATTGACCCGCTCCCATATTAATTTTTCGTTAATGTCTATAATGTACGGACATCGGCCTGTTACAATTTTATTATATGTATAAACGTTTATCTTGCACTTTGAAAGCGAATTCGTTTTTGGTTACAATATTTAAGTATAAATCTTAATCATTTAATCTCGACAACATACAAAAATGAAATAAATTAACTGACCCGACATAAATTGTGTCCGCTCACACGCCCCTCATGCAAAATTCAAATCCTCTATGAAACATTCGGAAGATTTTTAATTAACTCGCATGGTTTCGGCTGGTCATCAAGAAAATGTTGTAGCGGCTATCAAACAGAACGGAGCAATCGAACAATATATTTTACGTATTGTATGTAGAAGTGTTGAACATGCATTTATTTATCTGAACTCTACCCCGCACTCAACCACACAATCACACCAATGGCGAACGCAAAGAGTTATGACCTTGACGCTATTTAAATAACCAATCACTCGAACAAAAACTGATACATATACAAAAACAGACACAAAGCAGCGGAGCATTAAAAGCAAACAAAATTACAGCAAGAAATTTTAAGAGCCACTAGGGCAACAATAGCCGTGTTTTATTTGTCCAGAAATTCAAGCTATTAGCTTATTTTGTATGGAGGACTTACCCAACATAATTATATTGGCTTATGAAAAGCTATCTTGGCTTGTATATTGAACAATGGGCATTGCCATTCAGCATCAGAAATTGTCTCCTTCAGCTAATCAGAAAGAGGCAAAAGCTTACTTTGACACTATTTGCTGTCAAACAACTGTCAAAATTAGGCTAACATAGGAAATAAGCTAATTTCGTTTTATTTGACCAAGATTTAGCTATTTGCTTGTGATGGTTGAATAAAACATGCCTAATATAAATTTTGAATGAACTATGTATTGCTCGAATTGCTGTTTATGATTATGTACCGTTTAGTAACACATTCGGAATACTAACAACAACAATAACTTCAAGACGTTAGGAACGTGTGTGGGAAAAACCAAGTAAATAGCCGATCAGGGAGAGGAGGATAGAATTTGAAGAAGCCATTATGAATTGTAGTACGCAAATTGGCAATAACGATGCCATACATCTAATATTTATATATACACGACTATAAAGGTATAATTTAAATTGAGCCAATTGCTGTTAAAATAATTTTATATGGGTGGTTGAGTAGTTTGGGGAATAAAATTTAACTATGAGTGAAACTGTTGAGACAGTCATCGAAAAGGCGCTTAGACGATATCTATAAATCGGAAAATGATCAGCCAACTACTGCCGATTCATAAAACTAAAGTAAAATATTATTATTCTATTAACCTATTTGTTTGGATACATTATTGTTGTTAATAGATCTCTGATGTCATTAATATTCATTACAACATTGACAAGCATTTTGGTTGCCGTTTTTTGTTAAATTCCGAAAGTAATCATTGTTTTGTTATATTAGTCGACAGCAAAAAATACTAGCGCACCTTTTTTACTTCTACGTTATTTTATGATGCTGATTTAAGACATATGTAAATATGTACCATTGGTTTCAGTGGCGGATCCAGCGGGGGGACGGGGGGGTTTGGGGGTTAAACTACGTGTCAGTCAGTGGCGGACCCAAGGGGGTGTTTCAATACATAGACGCCATATTATGCCCACATATGCGCCATATTAAAACACCCCCCGTGGGCCCGCCACTGACTGACACGTCGTTTAACCCCCAAAACCCCCCAGCTGGATCCGCCACTGATTGGTTTCTTCAGATTAGCTCTTGTTGGCGAATTATTGCTAATTTATCAAAATATTTGATTCTCAAAGCTATGTTTTCCCTCAACATGGGAAACATTTATTTATGCATAGAAATATGAAAATCTTACGCTCGCACAAATAATAAAAACATTGTTTCGTATATCTTCGTTCAGGCTAAAGCAGGCACATTAGCAATCTTAAGGAATCAAATAGGCCTCAAAACTTTTAACTTTCCTAAAATAAATTTAACGGAAGCTAAAAAATTTTCATCATATCATTAGCAAATACCACTTAGTCAATAAATGCAAGTCCGGTCTTTAATATGGTTAAAAATTTCGTCGCCATCGAATATTATTTGTCGTAGATATGGCGAAAAAACTAGATGCAGCGCTACACTGTTGCCAATCGGTATTTTGTTTACATAATAAATATCATTTGCTCATATGCTCATTTCTTACAATCTTTCCAACTAATTTGATTTCGAATTTTGCAAAAGTCGCGATAATCCGGAAAGAAGAACCGATCTTTCTTTTTCTGAAAATAATGTTATCTTCCACAAAAATTGATGCTTTGATGAATTGTATTGTTATTTTGGCTATCATTCTACTTCAAGGAATATCTGGCTCAGTAAATTATGCCGCGCGTGCCCAATTCATTTTGAATAGTGAAGTTAGGCCGTGATAAACAATTTGAATTAGGCCGCGCGGACGAAACTAATTTTGTGGTGGCGTCTTATTTTATTTGCCGTAGTTGCGTATACCATGGGCCTTTACGTTTTGTTTGCCAAAGCACTTCTTTCATAGCGTTAATTTGAAAACACTCAACTCACCTGTTAATGTCATCCATGGGTATCTTGGCAAATCAGCAATACTTTGACCGGCTCCTCCGGTGGACAAAACGCCCGATGATGGCTGCGTACATGCATTTCCGAGTGAGTCCACTCCAACGGCACCTGCAGAGGCGGCCGTTGCAGCAGCGGCATGCTGGTAGAATTGCGCAAAACTGGACGCAGAGGCAGGCGCGCTCATTGACTGATAACTGTTCATGATACTGTCTGTGTACCTGCTATAAAACAAAACAAAAAATTAGCAGAATTCCGAAAAGCAAAAACATATTAATTTCTAGGCAAATCGCCAAAATGCAAAAACTCAGCAATGCTCTTTTAAATGTTAAGTTTTTACATCTAGAGCTACCCGCCTTCCGTGGAAGCGGTTTCGTAATCTTCAAATACAAATGTTTGCTAAATGTTTACTTTTAAATTTGTGGATTACCGCTGTAAAAGCCAATGACACTGCAATTTAGAAAACAATTATGTTTAGTAGAGCGTACTGTGTTATTGTTTGTTTGAACCGTATGCAAATGTGTGAAGGTCAATATGCGTGCGAATTTTTCCATTAAGTCTCAGTTATTCCTTCAAAAGAGGCAGTGCTCAAGCATTTAGTCATGGTAAACTAAGTGTCACTCAACATTAGCTATTCGCTATTGACTACTGACCACTCTGTCGCACCCACACTTTTGAGGTGATGTAGCGGTGCGTCAACAAATTAGCCTAAAACGCTAATCATATTACTGCTAAGTTCCTGTTGCGCTATTGATTATTGACAATGAAGTCGAGTGTTGTGGTATTGTCTAGACAGCGTGTGTGTTCTAATTTTCTAGCTGGATTAAGTATACTTTTATTGTTGTGTTCCCAGCGCTTAGGTCAGCGTGACGCACGATTGCACCATTCTGTCGGCCATTATAGTGATAACACAATACTTGTTGTCATTAGATATAATATTTAGTAATAAACATACCTCTTAAATACGTATCGCACATTTAGTAATGTGGACAATTAATTAAAAATTAAAAGTTTGTGGGAAAACGCATTCAAAGTTTGATCAATTCATATGGTGGGTATAGAAAAAACAAATGGGGGAAAAAAATCCTCGCCATTTTTGGGGAGTTTAAATTTCTGTTAGACTGAACTTATTCACCTTATAAAGTGTATTAATTCTATGATAAAATCTCCAAATAAATTTGGAATTAATTATATTTATTTTACATAAACGTGCGATACATTCGGAGCGCCGAAACGAGCCTAGCAAACGCGCAAATTTATGCACATTAGACTGCATTACTCTCCATCCAAAAAAAAATCGGTACTATTTTTCTATTGGAATTATAAAACCTATTATATTTTAACACGTCCAACAAAATATTTCGGGAAGATATTAAGATTTACGTGAGCTGGACCGATTTGAAAATACCTCCAAAAATGTAGTTTTTTATGAATAAAAATAGTTTCTTAAAGATTTTTTTTTTTTAAATTCCCTCAAAAAACTTGCATAAAAATATTTAAAAAAAATTTAACGGAATTGTAATTAAGAGATTTTTGATGCTGTTTTTTAAGTTTTTTCAAAGATTGGTATAAGAAAAACTTGAATAACTGAACCGATTTTGAATCAAGAGGTGTCATTGGAATGGTATTTTCTCACCCTTTTTATATCTTTGCTAATAAACTCATTCAAAGGATGACAGAAAAAGGTAGGGTGAACGAATATAATTCAAAGTTGAAGTAAGATGTGTTGGCATTTAAAAAAAAAATATTGCGACATGAATGACTTTTTTTTGGACAGAAATAAAAACAGTGTAAAAATACCTTTCTACTGAGGTCCCACAAGTCTAAATCGGGATAGTTTTGGCCCAGTTATTCAAGTTTTTCGCAAATCAATCTTTGAAAATAGTAAAAAAAACAGCATCAAAAATCTCATTATTACGATTCCGTTGAAAAGATTTTTAAATATTTTTATGCAGATTTGTTAAGCCTAATCTGGTTTGTCATCTGAGGAGACTTTTTTCAAAAAGTTATTTAAGAAACTATTTTTATTCATAAAGAACTCCCTTTTTGGAGGTATTTTCAAACGGTACAGCTCGCTTAAATCTAAATATTTTTCCAACCTTCTTTGCCTGAAAAAACCTCACAAATTTGGTATGTAAAAGTAAACAGACAATGTTTAATTTTGCACACACTGGGAGAGGAAACTGGTTACCTCTCGTTATATGCGTAGGTTAGGTTAGGTTAGATTACACCGGCCGGCTGATGTGCCTTACATAGACCCATTGGTCCTTTGTAGTGCCAGATGGAGGTCCGTGTTATGCGTAAATTTAAACAAAAATTTTAAGAGCAAATTTTAAACACTTTATATGTAAACTGTGAAATTGTGGACAATAAATGTTTATAACTCAAAACACAACTTTGAAATTTTTTCTACGCCAAGTAAAAGTAAGCAAGCAGTGTTTAATTTAATTAACAAGGTGTGTAAATTTGCGGTCATTAAGAGGGGAAACTGGTTACCTATCTTAATATGCACAAATTTAAACAAACATTTTTTAGAGTATATATGCATATATACATAAAATGATGGCCGTTTTCGGTGTTCTGTGAGATGAGCAAAATAAATAAAAGCTTGTAAAATTAGGGTGAGTGTAGAACCAGTGCAGGTAAACGTAATACTTTCTTTGGCAATTGATAGTATTTAGTTGCACAATTTTTAACACAGGTATCGCTAATGTGCAGGTATGTTGAATGCATCTATCGAAGCAGTTTCCATATAAATAAATAAAATAATGCCGCTGATGCGCATTTTGAGGCAGGTATCTCAAATGTGTACTTAAGCATGAAAGCAGCAAAGCAATATATACTGTATATGTAATGGTATGTATTTGTGCGCGGATTTTTTTACCTTTTTTTCTAACGACGGACAGTGTTTCGACTATATGGAGTTAGGTGGAAACAATAATTAACCTGCGAAGATTTTTCTAAAAATGTACATGTTCCCTGGGAATTTGGTGAATATGGAATAATTTCCGCGCCCTCCAATCTCCTAAAATCCAATCCCGAAACCTATGTATATGAAATTCTCTAAAAAATGAGTATAATTTCAAGACCTGACGAACCGGTACTCACACATTTTTTTTACTAAATATGTAAATTCATTCGCAGCTACTAAGAATATCATTGTTTTATTTAGAGTAATCAGCATATTGTATTTATTTATGGATATAATTCGCTAAAGAAAAGTAAATTATTCTGCATTTAACAATGCAATTCACCGAGGTAGATACAAATTCTTTTAATACTGAGTCAACATTAGCATCCAGATTTCGGTGAATATTAAGAAAAGCTAGCACATTGAGACCATCTTCTTTTATAGTTGATCTCAAATAAGTTTTAAGGCGGCGCAAAGTTGAAAACGTTCTTTCATTCACGGCAGTCGTACAATGTAAAAGAGATATAACTCTAAGCACTTGATGAACATTTGGAAAAGCATCGGAGTTACAAACATCCAAAGCTTCAAATGAATTTTGAATATTTATACCAGCGATGCGTTTTCTCCAAAGTTAAACTTCACTTGTCTATATTTCTAGCACCGAATCATGTAAAATGGATATATATTTCTCAAACAGTTTATACCAAGATAATTTATCAAAATTTGGGGTTTATCAGGAAGGAGGTAAGCAAAATTAGACAAAATATCCCGGTGTTTTAGAAATCGATCTTGCAATTGCGTAATGAAAAGATCTAGGTAAGGTATGTAAATAACGATTCGGTAATACTCTTCAAAATGCATCCGAGTGATTTGAATCTGTTGTGTTTCGTTACCTTGTATGAGCGAAACTCAACGATACCGAAATGTTTGCTTTTGTTTGTTTGCGTTTTCTGATGATATTAATTGAACTATTTTGGCAAACCGTAGCTAAATAGAGAAGCGAAGGGTATTCTGGACCACATAAGGAAACACTTCTGTAGAAACACGGAAATCCGAATTGTTTCTTAGTTTCATTGGATAATCTATGATTCATCGCTTTGTGTTGTAGAAAAATGAGGAGCGTGTTGGTTCAAATTGTTGAACGTTAATTATAGGTTTTAAAATGAAGTGTCATTGACATTGGTTATTTTGCTACACCAACTTTACATTGAATTCTTGTACAAAAATAGATTTTTCATCTTAAATTCAAAGTACAACATATTACAATCATGCAGATAAGTATTACAGCAGTAGCTTGTGTATTTCAATTACAATCTATCAAACTAACTGCCTTTTTTAAAAAAGGGGTTCATGCCAAAAATTAATCAATTCAGAATTTATTCGACTCGTTTATGGATTTTCACAGTCTGACAATCTATATCATGATTCCAGAAAATTATAAAAATAATACAAAATTATAAAATTACTAGCAGACCCGGCGAACTTCGTCCCGCCCAAAATTTTTATATATTTTATTGTAACTTTTTGGTCCAACATTTTCAGCAACAATTCACGTTTACGATTTTCATTGGCACATTTGTCTGCTAAGATTAAGGTTTGGTGGTCATTTTCCGCTTTAAATAACCTAAGGAAAGTTTTATATCCGTTCTTGAAATTCTCCAGTTGTGCGGCATTTCGTAGCGTGGTTATTCGCAAAGCGAAATAAATTTTTTCCTCTTCACTCCCTGGCGGCAACAATGACCCGGTTCTATAGTGAATGTCCTAGAAGCTTTACAGTATAGTAGGTGGCAATTTCAAAATGGGTGCGAATCATTGTTCTACAGAAATGCAATATACATATACTTATTTCAGACGAAATACCTTAAAGGTTTGAACGCATAATAATATTGGAAAATCACATCCATTGGTCCAATTGCAGGAGCGTTCGATATACTCAATGGTGCAACAGGTCGATTTAATCTGACCTTCACGGCCCCTTTTCTCACTTGGCTATTTTTAGTAATAGCTCGACTTCAGCACCACTTGGCAGCACGTTTTTGCAATAGTATTGCATACATATTTAAAACATTAGCCAAATCGGATCATAAATAAGATTTTTAGTAATAACTCAACTACAGCGCCAACTGTCGGATTAAATTGTGAAACTAAACCATCCAGAGACCCACTCAAATACACAAAAAGTTTCGTTAAAATCCGTACAACCATTTAGGAGGATTTCACTCACAAACACACCTACAGAAGAATAAAAAAAATTCATTCAAAGATAGCTAAAGGTCGGTACGTTTGTAGGCCTCACACCCCTTTTCAAAT